CTTGACTTAAGGATGACTTGAGTAGTCAGTTTATTAAAGGTTATGATTTTGAACCGGTGTATGCCATTTTAGAAATCATTAGTGTATTAGACTGATTGCCAAAGTATCAAAAATAGATCGGCTTATGCTCATTTTATTAACCTTTGGGCATCCTCAGGTATTCTGTCACTGTTGCTTTTACCTGAATGTTGAATAAATGAAATATAATATTATTTATGTTTTTATTCTCAATTGATTATATTAGTAGGTCTAATAATAATAATAATAATAATAATAATAATAATAATAATAATAACAATAAATAATAATAAAAATAATAATAATAATAATAATAATAATAATTATTATTATTATTATTATTATTATTTTTATCATCATCATTATTATGTTTTTAATGGAGTATTATGAAAATAATAAAAAAATAACCATTATTATCATAATTATAGCATTATCTTCATCATTGTCGGACTGTTTAAGCGTTAATAAACAAGCACAATTAATTAACGATTAAATATGCTTATAACAGTAATAAACAAACCAAATGAAACAATTCGAATATTATCAATATCATCTTTAATTATTATTATAAATGAAAATATAAATAGGGTAAGATAGCCTATCAAGTCGTGTTTTGCATTTGACATCAGTTTGTGCACAACGTGAGTTCTGTATGCCCGCCAAATTAAATTAAATTATACGCATGTGCGAGTCATCGCACGTTACGCGACAACTGTGCGTTCCAATAGTACAGAAGTATTGAAGCATAGTTGATTAATTTACCGTTTCTAAAGAATGTACACTAAAATTTCTTACAATGTTGTAATTTGCCGAAAGGAATTATGATTATATAAATTGAAATTTCGCTATATTGTTACAGTTATGACGTAGGCCAATATTCACATCAAGGTACAGTAACTCAGTGGATTTCCCAAATCGTGATCACCGGTTGATCAAGCCTTTGAAGATTTTTTTACGATGCGTGGAAGTTGTGATCACCTATAATAATAATAATAATAATAATAATAATAATAATAATAATAATAATAATACTAATAATAATAATAATAATAATAATAATAACAATAATAATAATAATAATAATAATAACAATAATAGTAATAATAACAATAATAGTAATAAAAACAATAATAGTAATAACAACAATAAGAGTAATAACAACAATAATAATAATAATAATAATAATAATAATAATAATAATAATAATAATAATAATGGCATCTTGTAAGGCGCACGTCCATCTCAGAGAGCTGCTCGCGGCGCCATTTCCACTTGCAAAGAGAAACAGCCTTTTCTGCATTTCATTTATAATATTTATAAAGGTTTTTTTTTAATTTTATATAAATTTTCTTTTTATTTATATATTTATTTTTTTTTCTTTTTTTTTTAAATCAGGAATAGTAGGCATTAAGTCGACTTCACTAAAAAATAGGTCTAAAAGTGTTGAAAGTATGAAGTATATGCCATTAGTTTATAATTTAAACGTCACTGTCTTTGCAACTCAATTTATTATCAAAAGTTTAATAAAACACAGTATTTATAATTGAAAATGATCGAACACAAGCTTCCAAAAAAGACGCAGATCGCAACATTTAAGATTTCGCTAATTTTACAGAATGGTCCACCGTCCAGCCAATGTAAAGTAAATAATATAATATGGAGCGGTGATAATGTATGAGTTAATTGACGTGAAATGGTAATCAGTATACAACGTTTAGATGATAATTGTTATTTTTAGGGTTTTTGCTGAAACTGAATGTACGGCACGCACGACAGTGATAGGTTGCTAGATCAGCTTAAAAAATACATGCCTGATCAGTGATAAAGTTTTATTTCAATACAGTATCAGGGGTCCAATCTGATGGTAATGTGGTATCTGTGAGAGGGCGTCCTACTCAACAATCCTTATTACAAGAAAACAAGATTGAGGAGAGTTACTCAGAAATACTTTGGTGTGTGTGGGTGTGTGTGTGTGTGTGTGTAGGTGGGGTAAGGTAGGGTGGGGATGGTTGTCAAACAGTACCATCACAGTTTAATAAAAGACTATGATACCCCCTCCCAATTGAAGATGGTTTGCATTATATATACATCAAAACCATGAAAATTCCCGGCCTCATCCAAGGATCTTCGGGGGCCCACAACTGTTACTTATATTCACGTTATCAAGTACTGCACCTTCAACACTACGCTAATAATGATGTCTTTTGTTCAAAAATGCATAACCTATAAAATGTGAATAAACACTATTTAAACTCGCTGGGTACTGTGTACGTAGTACAATGCAGTTAGTCATAGTTATGAAGTGTGGGTACCTGGATGTGTGTGTGTTTGTGTCTGACGAATCGAGACATGAAGAATACTGAATCCCAACTATTACTTATAGTGTTTATATTTTTATATACATATTTCATTCATATGCATGTATAATGACAATATAAAGCTTGATGTTTATATGAATAACATTATAGGGGCTATACTCTTATTGATTTTTTTTTATTACAGTATCTAGTTTTAAGTATTTTTTTTATTTGACGTTATAATGTGGTCATGAGAAAGGACGATTTAATTTTGTTGTTTTAACCTATTCTCACAAAAGTTAACCTTGTATTTTTTTGTTCTATATTATAATTATAGACGAAATAAAACTATCGCTCCTCATTTACAGTAGTTGTATGTTTTTATTATTTTTATTTATTTTATTTCACTTCACCCCACTGAAGCGTAAACGCCAACAACAGGGAGCATACAATGCAATATAGAATCTTTAAGGCTCTCGTAAATTCATGAAAGTTGTTTAAAATTGTGGTCACTAGAATCGTTGATGGCGCTGTTTATTCTTGTGCATTGCACTATGATAGTACTGTACCGTCTTTAAAGCAGTGTGACCACTGCTTGGGTTTACCCAAGATCTTGGGTATTTTGACTTGGTCTTGGGTTCTTGGGTATTCCGTTGAAATCCTTGGGTATTTTATTTTTACTATGAAAATTAAATATTTTTGTCATAGAGGAAGAATTAAGAAGTAACAAAGTATATGTCAGTCCATTCAAGTAAGCAAAACTCAACGAAGTGCACATAACGTTGTTAATTGCTGTAAATATGGGTTCAGAATTGTTTATTTGTGATTTGCGTTGCCATTAATCTTACTTAATTAATGCATTACATAATAAAACTTGATCACTGATCTACTAATAACACTGGCCGACTGAGAGCGTATTTTTCTATCTGTATTATCACCTCATGAATATTAATTTTAATAATTAACACAAACAATTACAATAAAAAATGGTTTATAAATTGAACTAAAATGGGAAACTATACATGCGAAAAACACGTTTTTTTCAAATTTTAATGCATTTTCAGGAAGCTTGGGTAATTTTGGGCAATTTTTGCTGAATCTTGGGTAATTCCGACCCAGTCATTGGGTATATCAAAAATTGTGAGTGGTCACGCTGCTTTAAAGCCCCATTCCCGGCAAAATTTCAGTTTTTAAGAAAAATCGAATTTTTGTATAATGTAATAAAGATTTATAAATATAATACGGAATTCTAGTTTTCCTAAGAATGAAAAAAAATGTAAAATAAGACTGAAATTTGATTTTTTTTTGTGTTCCACACAAAAAATAAATGCGGATGAATTTTTCATTTTGATTTTGCGATAGGTCGTGAGAAGAAATATCGTAGGTGCAGAACAAATTATCCTATCCAGCGCTGCTAGGCTAGGCCTAGCCTTACCTCGATTTAGGTTCTGTTATCACACATAAAAACGGCCGACATATTTTCCGTTGCTAGTATTGACACTTGTGAAATATAACATTTTTCATAGGAATTATTTCAAATTTGTTAAAAAACTGATTCCGACTGAGATTTTGACACTTAAACAAACATATCTCAGCCTAAATCGAACGATCGCATTGTGCGAGATACGTAGTACAAAAACTAATCTCATTAGAGAGGGCGCACTTTATTGACTGTATAAAAGTATACATAAAAGCGAGAGTATTCCATTGGATGCGATCTACAACCTCTGAATTTGCCTAGTAACGATGAATTCGTCCAGAAAATGGTAATATTTTATGATAAATAGTCTGTATTTCTCATTTTTTAAATTTTTTTGCGTAAGACTAAAATTCATGCCAATATTTTTCCATGATTTATAATAACTGGAGTAATGCAAATGAATATTTTCTAAAAAAAGTCAGTTTTTAGTGAAATTTTGCCGGGAATGGGGCTTTAATACCAGGGAACAGTGAAATGAATCTGTTCCCTGTATTAAATACAGTAATTTGAGTAGTGGGTCAATGAGTTAGTGGGTCATTATTAATGGTAATTTTTATATAACTTTTAGGTGGGTTATTATTATAGCATGGGTTACCAACAGTGCTAGGGTTCTATAGAAGTTTAACGGTTATACCATGAAGGTATGGTAACTTCATTCACTGTATCTTTTTTTCATAACGGTTTTGTATGATAATAATATATCACTGGCGGCTGTTTTAACTATTGTTAATGCTTTTTAATATTTTGTCGTTGTTTGTTGTGTGTATAACTTTTATTTTATCCATTTTGAACAATTTCAATTTTCTTATACACATCTAGATGTGTATAAGAGACAGCTTCATCATCATCGTCGTCACCGCAAATGGATTTATGAAGTACTGTACTGTGTAGCTGCAGTATCTTTAGGCCTTGTAATTGGATGCATTGCGTCAGGAATGTAGGCATATAAATAGTAACATTACATTACCCATACGACATAGCGCGTGGAGAAATTTCTGCTCTGTTGTTGATAATTTATTTTAATACTTTCTTCCAAAATACAACATTAATAGGGATATTTTCGTGTATATTACAAAATAGTTTGTTACAATATTACGTGCTGTCTTGATAACTATAAACACGAATAAACTTCGGCTTAACGACTAAATTCATTGGCAGTAGCAGAGGGGTGTTGTATTTATTCACTCAAACAGAATGACCAAAACTTCCGGTATTATTTTCAATAGTGTTTATTGTTGTTGCGTTTTGGAGTTTGGTACAAAAATAAAAATCTAGTAATATACATGGAATTTCCAAAATAAAACTTCGCATAATACGTGGAGATGTTGACTCATAAGACATTCAAAGAGCGGAGAACTCTTGGTATATATATTTTGCTTTTTAATGTGTTACGGGAAATACGAGATCTATCATAATCAACTAGGCCCTAGCTAGGCCAGCTTTGATCAGGCCTTCTTCAACAACAACGTACAGAGTACAACAAGGATCGGATTCCAAGGATCTACTCTTCTGCTGTCTTTCTTGTTGCTAGGTTGTCACCATAATCCAGCTGGATCGATGTTAATTTGTAGTGGATCTGTGGTGTGCATTCGTTGTCTGATTGCAAATAGATTTAGGTCTACCCTAGTGTTATAGTATTTTCTTTTTAGATTATTGTAATTTGTTTCCTGTTTTCCAAATTGATGTTACTGTATTATTATGCAGTACATACAAAAGCTTTCCTAGCCTTGCTTGGATCTTTATTAGTGACAAGGCCTATGCCCTATGACATGCGTAGGACCTGTATCTGGATAACATACTCAAACAAACAAAACAGGTTTCTGCGTCATGTGAGACTCTGGTAAACGCTGAGCTGCTTAGTTGGTGTGTCAGTTACTAGATAGGCCCTATATAATTTGTCATCTATCTGTGTCTGTACATATTTAGGCCTAGTACTTAGTAATTTTCCTCTTGAATATGCCTTGCAAAAGCAATAATATAATAATACTTTTGAGAGGAACAGCTGTATCCACTTCCTACAGTAGTTATCTCTTGGTATAAAATATGAGTTCTTGTATATTTTTACTGCAGCTTTTATAAACTATTGGTTTCTTGGTAGGGAAGCAGCTAGCCCAGCACCCTAAATTTTTCAAAATTATAAAAAAGAATGGAGAAAAAAGAAACTTTTATTCCAATTTAAGTCTGAGAGTGCTACAGTATTTCCAGCCACCAGATGACTTAATGATAAATTTTCTTACCTCAGAAATATCAGCGATATCGGCGACACCGATATTGAGAAAGATCTTGGGAGTTTGGATTTCTACAGATTGTAAATCATCAATACAATGTTGTAAATCCGCAGCCAAGCTTGTCAATTCTTGGAATTATCAAGAAAACTTTCAAATTTTTTGATAAATCAAGCTTTGCAATTTTGAATAAGGCATATGTAAGACCCTCTTATTGAATATTGCGTGCAAGCCTGGAGTCCTAATCAAGTCAAAGATATGCAAATACTGGAAAAAGTGCAGCATAGAGCGACAAAGTTGGTACCATGCCTTAAATTCATGCTGTATGAGCAACACTTAAAGGTACTTGATTTATATCCTCTCGAATTAAGGCGGATTAGAGTTGATGTTCATTGGACCACGTCAGAAAATCGTCCTACTAAATTGGTTTTATGGCATTGACAATGGGGTATAATAGGCTAAAGCCTATATTAAAATCCATTAATGTGTAAGTGTAGCCATGGTGGGACTTAGAATGTCCAGACTGCTTATTTGTGAAAGTCCCTCCCTGGGGCCCTGTATTTCCTGATCCACCCCTGATGCCAGTTGATTTATTCCCTCCTATCCTCCGGTGAAACTATCACAATGTATTTAACAAGTTGGTGACACTGCTGTGTTTATAAAAAACCTTTAACAAAACGTGCAAATACACATCTTTGTACTTTTTAAAGGAGGTTAATAATAAATAATAAGTTACATTTATATAGCGCATATTGCACAGTGCCTCTTTGCACTGCTTCCATATTTAAGGTGTGGCCTTACTTTATCATTTTTCTTGAAAAGTCTTTGGTGTGAGGTGGAAATAGTGACCATATTTGAAAAAGCAGAAACTAAACTCAATTTACTTCCTTGATTTTTCATACAGATCAGCGGAGGAAAGATGTTGCTGAAATACGAGAGAAACATCCAAACAAAATTCCAGTGAGTAATCTACAAAGTATATGAAATTCTTCTTACTATAGACCACTTGCTTCATTTAACATTATATGCGCCAAAAGCTAAGACCAGAGAGACATTTTATGACACATAGATGTAGATTAATTTGTATGGGTAATTTTAGGCAATTTAATATGATATTGATAATAATATATGGATTATTTTTTTCACCCCCAACCAAAAAAACCCAATCCTTTTTACCAACTGTTCAGTGTATATTTTTTGTCCGTAGGTGATCATTGAACGGTATGAAAATGAGAAAAATCTACCATTACTTGACAAGACTAAGTTTCTAGTGCCAGACCATGTCACCATGGGAGAACTTGTAAAGATAATCAGGTGAACAGAGAATTTTCAGTTTATTATATTTTACTAATGATGGCGATAAAAGTATATATTATGATGATAATGATTATAAAAATTAATCCTAAATGGTTATGGTAATGACAGTTTTAATATAACAGTAATAATGATAAGGTTTAAACATTGTGTTTGTGCAGATTATTGATTTCAGCATAAGCCCTGTCCCGACTTAGTGGTGGCACCAGCAGGGGCCAAGGCTGTACAGTAATCGGAGCTTTGGTTCGGACCCCTTGTCAGCAAATTTCTGTCCAGACTATCAAATTGTATACATGTGACTCATGTAAATATGGTCATGATGACATCACATAATGACCATACAGTATATGGGGTTTGCTATCCCAAAGCCAACGTATTGTTGCTAAATGTTAAACTGGGTAATAGCATAAGAATGTGCCAGTATTGTAAACTTTAGTACAGAGAAGCTGTAATACTTTTACTCACATAACTTTGTCAATAGTAAGTTGATTCCAGTAAATGACCCATCATTTGAATGCTTATAATTTGGAGAATATGAGTATTAAAAAGTAAACCTAATGCTGGTTTTAGCATGACAAGCCTCATATGGGCATGCAACAGTTTTTTCAAAGAAAATTTGATAATATTGACAGAGCCTTGGGTAATATACCGTAAAAACCTCAAATAGAAGCACAGTGGGCGTAATCTTGAGAAGCCCATCTCGAATTGAAGCCCCCTTTTTACTTGGTAAAAGTAGCCTCGAAAAAAAGCCCATTTCGAAAAAAGCCCATTCAATGTTTACAAAAAAAGAAGCACAGGGATTCTAATCAAGTTTTTTATAGTGTGGTGATGAAGAAACTAGCAAATTCTTTAAACATTATCCTTTCCCAGGTTGAAAAATTTCATCATGAATGTTTGTTTCAAAATAGCATAGTACATACACTGTACATGGATTTCAAAGAAACAAAATAAATTAGAAACATGCATGGTTTACAGAGTAGTTTAGGTGATTTAATGCCGGTTAGTACACATCATGATGTTACAGTGGCCTTATTTATTGTTTAGTAGCAATGCCCAAAATTTACAACATTCATTTTGAAAAGAAGCCCCCTTTTTACTTTGCTAAAATAGTCTTGAAAAAAACCCAGGGCTTCTAATCGAGGTCTTACGGTATGCTAATGAAGAAACCAGCCAATTCTTTAAACATTAATCTTTCCCAGGTTGAAAATTTCATCGTAAATGTTTGTTATTTATTTAATGTTAAGTCTGGTTTTTATCATTGCGAGTCATGTGTTTTCACCAAGTGGGCTAAAAAATATAATGGAATTAAGGTATATAAATTTTTGTTTGTAGACGAAGATTACAGTTGAATCCTAATCAAGCATTCTACCTGTTGGTGAACCAGAAAAGTATGGTTAGTGTATCAACACCAATAGCGGAGGTGTACAGCCAGGAACAGGACAATGATGGCTTTCTTTATCTTGTTTATGCAGCGCAGGAAACATTTGGATAACTAGAAAGGACTTTTTGAAATATGTTTGTAGAAGTTCATTGACTCATCAGTGATAACTTTGGATATTTCAACAAATTCATTCATTGTGAAATCATTTTTTTGTCATTTTTAATTGAAAAAAAGTGTCTATAAATCTAGTATATGTTCATTTTTTTAAAACAAATTTTTAATAAATGATAATTTTAAGGTCTTTAGATGTATACATTTCATATTTCTAGCTTAAAGATTGTTTATGTCAGTCGCCTGTGATGTAAATAGGCAATAGGCAACTGGCTAATCATACCTGTTGGTCTCCCTGCTACTTTGCAGACTGTCTTCAAATTGATAAATATTTAAAATTTAAGTTGTAAAGGAGGGTAGTCCATTTGGTTGGGGAGGGAAAAGGTCAAAGTGAATCATATATACTGTAGTTCACACATGAATCCTGAAGATATTCTATTAATGAATGTGATAGTTTGTTTGTCTTTTTTTACATTTACCTTGCAAAACAACAGCAGATATTTCATTTTCAAATTCATTTGGATTTTTTATTACCTCATTGTCATAACTTTTTATTTGTGGATGATAAACTTTGATACTGATTTTGCTTTCAATTTGTGTTGATGAAGCTGCTTTGAAATAGTTTCAAAATTACTAATTAGTTGTAATTATTTGTTAAGTATTATGTTCTTTAATTAGCAACAGGGAATCTGGGTTTGGAAAAGTTTGAAAGCCAATGTTTGTGGGTATGCTGGCATCGTTCATCTCCAAAATGGTGGAGAACATTCCTCAAAGGGCTCCCCCACTCCCCCCACACCCTTACATTTAATATTCATAACTCTGCTGAAATACATCATAATGTATGCTTCTGAGAGTTAGTCAATGATCCTGAAACCTATGTGAAAACTTAACAAAAGGCAATAAAACAAGCTCTACATTTGGATATTCGGCAATATTAACCGAAGGTAAAATGTGTTTTAATCAAAATATATACACACCGGTAATTGTCAATGTTTGTTTATCGCGATATATTAACCTGTGGTTGCAAGTTTGGATGCTATTTTCATAGTTGTAAAGATTTACTGGTAGATAAGCTCATTGTCAGATACTTGAAAGAAACGGAGGACGAACACATTCGGTCGTCTCACGGCAAAACAAAGTAACTGTTATATTTTTGTGCAGTTACATTTTTTTACCTTGGAATGGCCACTTGAAAAAAAAAGAAAAAAGTATTTAGTATAATGGCACCTTCATAACACTGTTTTATTCTCTCAGATGAACTACTGTTTATCCTGTCAAACATATACATATACTACATATTTCAATTATAAAAAGTTATATCTTTTTAGTACATGATCTAGATAACAAGATAAGCAAAATGTTTGGTGGGGCAGGGAGAAGTGCGAGTTCCAATTAATATGTGTACATTCTTTTTAATATTGTAAGCTAATGTAACCTTGTTTTTTTGGAGTAGGAAAGCAAACTTGCTTATAATTTGAAAAAAGTAGGGTAAATTAAGTACAGTAATTGGAATGATGTGAGCAAAGATGTAAACCATCCGAAAGCAGGAACATGCTGGAAGGCGGAATTCTAAACATTTTCACATGCTGCTTATTATAAAATCATGGTTGAGCAATACTTATCACCTGGTAGGTTTAATTATATGTATGCAGCATGCCATGCTGACTATATATGAGTATAGAGAAAATATATATTTAAAGTGTAGGTGAATGGGCATTGCTGGGCGCTTTGTAAATATCAACAACTGTATGTTAGTTTTTGCATGACAAAACCAAATAATTGTTGAAGTTTTGAAAGATGTAATAAATAAATCAGTAATGATGATAAGCAGTTTACCTCTTTTTTTAAAATGAAGAGTGAAGAGTTCTAATACTTACATCAAAGGCACCATTATTTATTTATATTAATTTATATTAAATCAAGTTAAAAACATCATCACAGCAATTTCACAGAATCTCACAGTGGAAATGAGTTGCTATGGCAGAAGTTAGTTTGAAAAGAGCATTTTGTCGTAACTGTCTATGCTTCTGTTGTAAATAGCAAAAACGCATTAGTTAAATTATTGGTAATTTAGTATGTACAGATAGTCTACATATCAAGCATAAATATATGCATAAATTTTTGTCAAAAGGTAAATACACCTTACAGGGGCAGTTTAGATTGTTCATTTTCCTTGCTTCTCTTCGGTCAACTATGGGAACTGAGCAAATGTCAGGCTTATCTCCAATGACCATTCACCGAGAAATAATCCTCAAATTATTCATAAATATGCATTCCCGCTGTCTGAGCTACCCACATGTATTTTACAGGTAGCTGACACGTCGCTGCTCAGCTTATCTTATAGTATTTATTTTATACTATACAGTAGCTGTTCATAATAATAATGATGGATTTATTTATTAGTATAATCAATTAATGCCAACATAATATCCAACAATATATCGCACCTACATTAGTCATTAGAGCCATTCGGCAGAAAATGTATGTACGACCGTCTCAATGTTACTTTTTTTCAAATTATATATTATATTATATTATATTTTATTACTGTAAATAGATAAAATTATTAGATAAAATAAGGTTGAAAAGAGGCAACTTCATGCCTCTCGCGTTCAATATGTTATGAAAACAAATTAGGCCTATATAATTTAAAATAAACGCTTCTCAAAGTATGTGTGTGTAGGTCTATTGTAAAGTAAACTACTGTATAAACATTTTGCTACAGCCGTGTAGGTTTCTTCCGATAAAGTCAGGCTCCGGAGGAAAAAAAAAAATTGATATGTTGTAGAACTGATTTTTCTAAGACAGAAAAAAGTAGTTTAATCAAAAACTGAGCAACGGTGAATGAGATACAGATTTTTGAATACTTAAAAACTGGGGGAAAAATATTTTTAAATATTAAAAAATCTGTATCTCTTTCACCATTCCCCATTTTTTTTCAGTTTTTCGTCAAACAACTGTTTTCTGACTTAGAAAAATCAGTTCTAATTAGTGAAGTTTATTGGACTCAGGAATTCCAAATGTCTACAGGCCTATTGTTGGTAGTGAGGTTTTGGGACTCTTCTGTTTCATTTCACTGTTGTTCAGGTAAGAAATTGCACTCTTTCATGTCACTGTTTTTCAGATAAGAAATTACAAACTCAATAAAACAATGACTGAAACTTTGTAAATTTGCTGGTTTTATTTAATTTTCACACCTGCCAAATATATAACGAAATAATTGATAAAATCAAATGTTCAAAAAAAAAAAAAACAAACAAAATCTAAAATTTGTGTGGGGGGAAACCGAAGAACTCGGAGGAAACCCACGACAGTGACAGGAGATTAGCTCCCAGGCAAGATCTGCATTCTCACCCTTATCACTGCCCCCATGAGCTTAACTACATGTGTTTATACAGTTAAACTCATTTGTAGGCCTATTAAATACACATACACATACACATTTTATATACAGATAAACAGCCTCTGCTCATACCTCAACCGTTATAGAACCGATTTACTCAAAATTGTGTAGGGTGTTTGTTACATTTAAAAATAACAAAATAAATAATAAATAATAATAAATTGTCACTCATTATAATCATTATTATAATATTATATTACGATTGCTATATGACGAGCCAAAAATTAGAATTTTAAAAAGGATAAAATTTATTGATATCGATTAATATTTGTTTTTATTAAATACATTATTATTAATTAAATACAACTAACTTTTTATTTAATTATTATTGTTAATGTTAGATTAACATTATTATTTTTAATAAAGTTTAATTTAAAAAGTACAAAATTATGTAGTAGGAAATATTGAAGATGAAGCAAACTTGATACGTGCTGACAATATAAGAAGAGAGCCATTGCATCACTGCACTTTCATGGGCACCCAAAGGAAGAAAGAAAGCGGGGCGAAAACATGGCGCCGAACAGTGGAAAAAGAGAGGGATATCCTGGAGCAAAGCTAAAACTGTGGCCAGAGACAGGGGACGCTAGAGAGAGAGCCTTACAGCCTTATGGGCCACTGGGCCAGAAGAGGATAAGTAAGTAAGTAAACTTGATACAGGTTTTGTGAAAAGAAAATAAGTAATAGTTAAAAGAATACAAAGCAGGAGCCAAGGTACCATTCCTCTGTCCCTAATACTATGCTTAGATAACCTAACTACTGTATGTACTTAAATACTTACTCTACCCTCATAAGCTAGACTGATGTACTTAAATACTTACTCTACCCACCTACACTAATTGGACACCTGCCACCACTAAGGGTATTTGAAATAAAGAGGAAGATACCTTTCAGAATTAAAAAATAGAGTAGAAGCAGCACAGGTATAGTATGGCTGAAAAGCAACAGTGGGAGTCCTTTCTGGCAATGGATTAAGCAGACTTAACTGCAAAGGTAAAATGGAATTGTATAAGAACAATAGAAGATTAGATTGAAGTAAATTGATTTTGGAAATAAAAGAGCAACATAAGAACCTATTTATTAGGTATTAAATTAAGGAATTTCATGAAAATGTGTAAATTTAATCAACAAATTAACACAAAGCTAATATATAAGCATTTTTTTTAAAATTAGTCATTGAAATATTTATTAAAAATACATCTTATGCATTTACACAATTTTTTGAACACAACGGATGAGGTATATAATAAGAGCACATTTAAAACTTACAAAGTCAGAAACAAACATTAGCTCAATGTAAATTGTCAGAATATTTATAACAATCATGCCTTAATATAGGCTGTTAATAAAATTAATAATATTTTTATGCTTTTTAATTAATTTTTATTCTATATTATCATACACTTTGACAAATTAAATTTTGTTGAATATCGTACATTTATCAGATAAATATATAATTTGAAAATATTTTAAAATTCTTGCAAGATTCTTTTTTTCCATTTTGTTGATAGTGAAGCAAACGCTGTTTGCTATTAAGTGTAATGACTAATACTATTATTTTCATACTGTTACTGTTAATCATAATTATTTTGTTGAAATTTTACAGTTTTTTAAAAACATTTCTAAACTTTATAGAGATTATATTTCATATTTTTTTCAGAAGTAAGTGTATTAATAAGTAAATGATTTATAAATTGTACATTAATGCATACGTTTGAATCAATGCTTGAACATTATTTACATTTTCTTCGATAGACACCTCTTCGTTCTTGCACTGAAAAAAAGAAAATATATTTATTAGCATCACTTTTGTTTCTGTTTTAAATCATTGAATGTAATAGGCCTATTGATAAACATATGAAGATAAATTTGAACTTTTCACTCCTCATCTATTTTTACATAATTTGTTTACATTAGGTTTGTTTCCAAGTATTGAAACACACACCATCATGTATTTCAATACTTGGAGTATGTATTATACTTTCTTATCCGAGATTAATCAGTGGACCTTTCAGTTTTAGGTTTGTTTATTGTTATATTTCTTGGAATCAAATTATGTTCTGTATTTTGTGGGACTTGTTAAGTCAATCGTAAACAATTTTCAACATCAGTTAGAGGTTTTTATGACTGTCATCACATTCAGCTACTTATAAATCGATTATTATTGCAAATACATACACATATCATATCTGAATCATGTGCACTGCTGATGTCACTGCCAATGTATCTTTTTAGTCTAGTCCTAACGAGTCCACATCATATCATCACATGCAGTGTCCATCCATCCTCTCGTCCATTGGTATTGGTGGGCATTCAGATAATTGTAATCACTCAGGTAAATTGTATGCAATATAGAAATAGAGAATCTTTAGATTAATATGTCAAGTGTATATACATATACATACACATATACAAATACATAAATACACATACCAATACACAAGATTAATAACATTAAATTGTATGCATATACATACAATATACGATTCACACAAAAATACACATACCAATACACAAGATTAGGAACATTAAATTGTGAGTATAATGCATACACATACAAATACACACATAATTACCAATACACGAGACAAATACGTACATACACGTATACATAGGCAAGTTGCGAGCGCGTAGCATATGCTATTTGCTTCTTAATTTGCAGGCATGCTAGTAGTTCCATAGTCCCTCACTATCTTGACTAATCTCTGAAATAAAGCATGGAAATCAAATTTAATGCAACAATACATCATGATTAAAACTCATTAAATCTAAAAAGGGTCATAAATAAAAATCTCTCGGATTGAAGTGGCTGGTCATTGCAGGAATCCTATAGCAACTCCACAATAAGATCAACTCTGGCTAGAAAAGGGTCCAAGAATGACTAACTTTGGAGTAGTTGTAAATATATAGTAAATGCTTGTACCCAGATGGTACAGTGGCTATCAGTTCGGCTTCATCCCAATATACACAATGCCAATGTTGTTTGTGGGAGAGGCATGCCACAGGATCGCGTCCTGTTTCATCTATGTAACACACTCGCATGGAATCCGATGAACTCCTAGCTGGCTATGTGTTGTCTTTTTATCCTTGGTGTTCAAAATGTCCGGGATAATTTGTTTGGTGCACTATGAAATCACTTGTTATCAGCTTGTTGAATACGGTGTGAAAGCTGTTCAACTTGTCACCTGGTCTTTTGAACTCCTTTTGGTTTTACAAGTCTGTTGAAAATGGGAATTTTGTTTTTTGTTTAAATATATTTAAGTTATATTGATGAGCTTCCATTTATTCATAAATTATTTTCAAGGAAATTAAATACCGCAATTATTGTATATGGACGGTAAGTGAATGCAGATTTAAAAACAAAATGTTAATCAAATCTAAAGTAAATAAATGTGTTACATGGTTTGGTTGTTAGAAAAATGAAATG